TGTTTAATGTATAAAGTTAAAGCAAAAATGTGGTGAATGTGTTTTATATGTACTTGATAACTTTCTCTCAGACGAATTCAATTTCATGTTAATAAGTAAATTTGATTACTCAAACACTTCATATAAATTAATTATTTATACGTAAGTATAAGAACATATTATAATTTATGGTAAAGAAACTCGTTTTTAAAATTAAGACAAAAGTTAGAATTTTTTTTTTCCTTCTTCATCTAAACCACATACAATTTCTCTCAAAAGGACTCATTTTTCCTTCTTTTTTTGTACTGTACCAAACTTTTGATAATTTTTGTTTTAAACGTACAGTGCATGTAGCACTTATATAATTATTAATAATATCTTGCAGCTATGTTCATATGTATATACACACGCAGCACAACAATTGAGTAGAAATATAGTTGTATAGAAGTAAAAGTGGAAAGTTTGATATTTGCAAAATTAATTACCAGCTTATTTTAATTTGTTCATAAAATTCTTTATATATGTAAATATATATATATGTAAATATACATACTATTTCCATATTATATATGTACATTTCTAAAATTCAGAATCTAAAAAAAAATTATTAATAAGTACAAGAAACTTACCCATATTAATAATTTATGGGATCTTGTATTTTTATTTTAATAAAATAAAGAGGTAAAATAAAAATATAAAAGACAAAAATAATAGGTTAAACCTGCCATTCATAGAATTATTCAAGGATAAAATCTAGATATTAAATTAAATCTCATATAATTACATATCTATACATATATGCACATATACACAAATCTTAATTTTCATATCCCCCCTATACATTTATAATATTGCATTGAATATACATACATACATATACACATACAAATTATTATTGCTTAATCAGTTGAAAATAATAGATTTATTAAAAAGCTTTAAGGAGAAAATCAATTAATTTTGTATTTGAATATTATTTTATTTGATTTATATAAGATTATTATGTATTTTGTTCGATGATGTATAAAATGTGTGAAAATCTTTTATATGTATACAACAATATTTATGTAAATATATGCATATATGCGTAAAATGTAAGAGCATACAGCATAACCACTATATATACATATGTAAATCAAAGTAAAATCTTCTATGCCTATATTAATTCTAAAATACTTTGAACATTATTAAATAATTGATTATGTGAGAAAATTTTATTATAAAAAAAGATAAAAAAAAATTAAAATCGAAAAGTACGTTTATGAGTTCGTTATTTTAAGTCACACGAGGGTTTTTGTTCGCAGCGCTACAATTAAATGTCAAAATAACAGGATGTCTGAAAACATGGGAAATAGTAAATTAGAAATAATATTTTCACCTTCAGGAACAAAGAACGTAAATGTAGTGTAGTTTGCTTAGTTTTGGCTATTCATGAGTAGTTTGAACACATAAATGTAACGCAAATATCATAAGTTTGAATAAAATTGAACTTCAAATGTCATGTTAAGTCATATTTTTTATTTATTTTTAATTCTAATATAATACACTTAAATTTTTATTTGAAAAAAAAACTCTTTCTCTTATTAACCGAAGCCCTACACGCAAAGTAATATACCAGTGTTCACACATGTAAAAGTATTATAAAGATGTACCACACAAAAACAAAATCTATTCATATTACTACTTCTTACACTTGCCATAAAAAAATATCTGTCCGTATAGCCCCAAATTCATTTTTTTAACTTATTACCGCTCCCCACATTATTTTGTTCTTATATTTTTTTATTTTTATTAGAGTTTATATTTTTACTCATTTTCATTTTTTGTTTTTTCCATTTTTTCTTACTTTTAATTTTTTTCCTTTTTTATTCTTATTATAGTTTTTCTTATTTTTATAGCTTAAATGTATATAAAAAGAACCTGCAGTATAAAACACGTACAAACAAACAGCACAACTGTAATATGCAAAAAAAAATGTGGAACTTATGATTGCATAAAAGGATTTCTATTTATCATTTTGAAAAGAAAATGAAAATCCTTGTGAAAAATGATCCTAAAATATTTAAATAACTCTTTTTATTTTTCTTTCCCTTGCTTACCATTTTTCCTTTTTAATCCTAACAAAAAAAAAAAATAAGAAACACTTTTTATAAAATGTAAGAAAAATCTAAATACTCAAATATTCTTATTATATAAATTTCTTAATAGTATGTACTTAGAGAGGGGCTGCAAGCAATAACGACAACCTGTTAAATTATCGTAAATAAGGCCCATTTAATAATTAGTTTAATTATAATATGATGTTGTTAAAAATAATGTTTCTTTTCCTTCGACTAGTAAGAATATTAGAAAAAACAAGATAACTTGCAACACAATCTACAACATATTGTGAATTGACTACGAAAACAAATAATCTAGGTTATGCCGGAATTAAATTAAATGGGTATTTGCAATTTCAAATAAACAAAAATAGTTTGTCGATCCATAATTCAGCAGTATCCGGAAATATATAGGATTTCCTATTACAAAAATGGATATAAATATTATCTATATATGTATATACTCATATACACAAATATGGAACTAAAATTGATGAAATATATTGCCAAATTGTCCATCTGTTATTTTTACCTACTTTGTCATTTAGTATTTATTTCCAAAACGCCTTATTAATAAAAATTTCACAATTATTATGGGCATCATAATAGTTTAACTGGACTTTTAAAAATTGAAATGAATAAGAAGACAAAAAAAATTTTTTAATGTTAAGATAAATAATAAAATGAAGAACTTCAAGTTTATCATTTTATCCTGAAATATCCCATTTTTATATACTATTTTCCATTATGTCGAGAGTAAAAAAGTGATGAAATTCATCAAAAAATAAAAATATAAAAAACGAACAAACACAAAACAAAACACTTAAACGTACGTTATCATATAGACTGCGACGTTAGCAGACTTTTTACCGTATTCATTTTACTTTATTTAGTGTTAAAAAGGAATTTATTTGTAAAAATCCTTAAAACAGAGATGTAGCCAAGTGTAGCTATTTAACAATGTTATAAATGCAAAAAATATAAAAAAATTGTGCCTATGCTAACTTACCGAGCTATATAGTAGATTTTCATAAACGCAATACTGCAAAAACATGATGATTGATGAATATGCAATATATTTATATTTATTCTATAAAATTAAAACAGTTATATGATTATACTTTGCTACTCATACTAATTTTGAGCTACATTGCTAAAAATTAGCCATGTTTATGAGCAAATTAAGTTAACCACATTTGTGTATGAACGCCCATATAACGCATTTGCTATAAAAATATCGCGTTATACTATGTTTATGAAAAGGCCTATTATTTTAATTGCTCATATACATAATAAATACATAGTAAATGAGTTTGCTGAATTCATAGTAATTGCATAATCATAGTACCGTGTTTTACTGTAATTTTGAAGTCAAGGTACGCACCTGTTTAATGTTTTTTTTATTGTCGTATTATTTCTGTTTTATATAAACATTTAATTTTGTTTTGTCCTTCTTATTATTTATATGTACAAATATAGTGTAAAACTGTATGTAGAGTGTATTATATTATAATTTAAATGCTATCTACAAGGTAGTATACATATGTGTATGTATATTTTTTTGTTTATTTATTTTATTCTCGTCTATGTTTATTTATCACTTTAAAAGTATCAAAGTACCAGATCTTTATTATATAATTTATTAAGAACACACAGAGTTGGATGTTATTTTCTTGTTTATATACGTATACATACGTATAAATCATACATGTAAAAACCCTATCTGCTTCTTGTCCCTTTTAGATATATTCTAGATGGAATGGTATTACTTAACTTTTTCCTATTATCAGAAGAAAATTCACACACTTAGATGTTATTCTTATTGTGTTTCCCTCTACACCATTCAACTCTATATTATTATTACATTGATATAAATTCTACCTTTTAGAACGTATTCCCTTTAGCCCTTTTTTTTCTTTGAAAAATGTAAGCGTACGTTGTGCTTATATTAAAACTTTACGAATTTTATTTTAAGAAATCCTTTTTTTTAGATATTTTTTTTAACACATTTATATTATTCTTACAGTTTTATTCTATGTAATGTACTTTCTTTTGCCTTTCTTTTAAAATTATAGTGTCGTTGAGGTTTGTAAGAAAAACGACTGAAAAAAAACACACATGGTTATGTACTTACAGTATAAATATATGTATAACACAACAGGGCTAAAACAAAAATAGTTTTTCTGCGTTTTTTTTGGTATTTCTTTAGGAACAAACAGTATGAAAAATATTAAGAAAGAAAATAATGTAAACACATAACATATCTTTATTTAGTGAAGACATGAAACAAATATCCTTGTTAAAATGGTCATTTTGCCAAATCCTTAATATGCTTTTTTTTCTTTTTTTTAAATTTTCGCTCTAATTTTAAACTGATGAAAACAGAAAAAGTACATAAGAATGGAATAAAAAATAAAAGGACAAATTTTATTAAAGAAAATTCAAATACAAAAGTTTAATACCGTGGTTTCACGAAACTATTCTATTTAGACTAATAATTAAAAATTTAACAATTACATAATTTCAATTTTAATGAAATAAAAAATTCAATCACTAGATTGTGATTTTACTTATATTTGAAATGTGTATTTTACTTGTGATTAGATTACCTATTGAAATTTATTTAACAAAGTACGCTTTTTCTTACCGGAATGCACTCAATTGCATTTAAAAATTGAAATTTGCAACCAAATTATGCACTTAAATTTTGTACAATTATGTACTTCCAAAAAGTTTAAGTTACTTTCAATATTTAATTTTCAAAAAATTTCATTTACATTTTATAATAATAAAGTACATATTTCGTATATGTTTGTTTAAATTAATAATAAATTTAAAAAGAAATAATTATCTTTTTAAGAAACTATAATATAAAAAATTGAGAACAATCTAAAAAATTTTTATTGCAAAAAAAAAAACAATTAATTGTGATAAAAATTAAACATTGTTTCCAAATATTGCAAATAAGTATGACTGGTAATTTGAAATTTTAACACCATACCTATTTCAATTTTTGTTGTTAAGCTAAATTCAATATTTTGGTAATTCAGAATATCTTGGTGGTGTTGACCAACAAACACTTGAATTTCTCGTACAATATCTTGGATCAATTGTTGGGAAAACTTCTTTTAAATCTGGTGTTAGTGGTGTTACAGGGAAAAAGGAATCAACTAAAGCTGTTGGCATGTATGCCTGTAAAAGCAAACTTTTTTGTCGTACTTCTCCTAAAGTGAAAAATTAATTATAACTTGTTAAATTAAAACATATTAAATTTATTTTCTATCTTACTTGTCGCCCATTCTGGTAATGGTGGCCTCTTTTTAGATGGATTATCTTCATCGTCGGTTTCATCTTCCGTAAGTAGCATTTCAAAATTATAGAGAGGATTTTCTTTTGCTTTGTTTTTTAATAGTTTTTGGTTTTTAAAATATTCCTGTTGCAGTTTTTCTTTTGCTTTCTGAATTTTCAAATTTTCTAGAATTTCACGTTCTTTCTTTGCGGCTGCTACTGCGGCTTGTTTTTCTAATTTCTGCATTTCTAATTTACGTTTTTGTTCATTTTTCTCATCCAAAAGCTTAAGATTTCTTTGAATCTCTTCTAAATGACGTTTTTGTTCAGCGTTCTTTTTTTTTTCTTCACGTTCTTCAATTAGTCGTTTAATACGTTCTTCACGTTCTTTTTCCTTTTGCTGCCTTAAAATCAAAGCTTGTTGTTGTTTTTCATCTCGTTGTTTTTTTCTCTCGCTTATTTCTTGAAGTTTAAGGTAACCCCGCTTTAGGTCTTCAACGCTGTTTTCTCTTGATCTTGTAGATTGTTGCCCGAATGATGTTTTACTCATAGTTGATAAGCTTTTTACGAGACCAATTGCCTTTGATTCACTGTTTGGTGCCTTTTTAATTATATTTCCTATTGTTGGAGTTATAGTTGAAGAAGATTGTGAAGGTGTTAAAATACGGCCAAAGCCACGCGAGGCAGTAGGAGTAACATTTTTCGATGAGCCTTTTAAGGTAGAAACAACCTGTAGTTCAATGAATCTTTTTAAAAACTTAATTAAAAATATTTTTATTTACTACCTTATTTTTTATTTCTGAATTTTCGTCATTTTGTTCTTTTTGCTTTCCTTTATTGTTCGCTTTTAATCGATTTGATGCATCTTTTCCAGCGTCTGCTGCAGCTTTTTCAAATGCCTCTACTTTTGTTTTTAGCGGACTTTGAATGAAAGGACTTAAAAAAAATTAATACAAAAATTATAAATAAAATTATAATATTTTTTCCAAAAATTACTTGAAAAGCTGATTTTTTTCCATTTTTGATTTCGGTTTAGGTTTGTATTTACTTTTTGGACGTTCTTCCATTTCTTCACAATTATTTACTTTTACAACATAATCTCGAACATATGTTTCACCTAAATTCACTATAGGATTTGTTCGTATTTCAAAAGTTGCATTTGAATCTATGATGTCTTCTCCTTGTTTAAGCGTCAAAGTTGCATTATGAATTTTGTTGTCCAAAATGAAAGTTGCTTGATCTGTAGGAGTAGATGCGACACTTTTATTTAATGTTAGTTCAGCCATAGCCACTGCTATATTGTGTGCTGCTGCTGGTAGACCCTGAGCAGAAACAAATGTCGCATCATTTTTATCTGAAGTTCTTTCTTCATTATGTAAATTTTGTTTATCTAATTTTGATGCTTTATCGTTTGGTAATATATCACCGTGGGGTGAATTCACTTTATTGTTAGACGGACGGTTTTCTTCTATCTGCATGTTAGAAAATTGCTTGATGTTTTCAGATGTTAGTGGCATTGCATCTTCATAAACCGATTCTAAACTTCCTTTGCGGTTAGAGTTGTTTGATTGTCTATCTTTCTTTTCTGATTTTTTATTCTTCTTATTCTCTTGAGGAGCATCATTATTAGCATCTACAAGACTAAGTTTTTCTTCTTTGATTTTGATTGGGTTGGGAAATTTAGATTTATTTTCTTTTTTTTTCTGCGTTTTGGAAATAGTTGATTCTAATGAAGTACTTGAATTTGTTTGATTTCTCTCCTAAAATAACGTTTCGGAGTAAGCATTTCATATAGTGTTATTTTTTAATTTAACTTACTGTAGTATTATTCGTATCTTCATTAGGATTAAAACTGATTTTCTCACACTTTATAGGCCTGGGTATTTCTACGTTAACAGTTTCTTGTGATATATTCTTCTTTCGAATACCTAAATTTAATTTATATATAAAGCATTTTACAATATTTTTGTGCAAGTTTCTTTACGTTTTTTTGTTCCTGGAACTGGAGGGGGTGGCATTTTATCTGATTCAACGTCAGACTCAATTTCAACAACAGTGTTTCTTTTGCTAAGTATCAAAATTGAATTCTCGCTAATTGTACTTCCACAATTATTATCAACTTGCATTGGTTCATCTGGAATTTGCTTATCCTCTCCTGATTTATCAATTACACTATCATTTTTTTCTTGTTTTATGTAAATATTGGTAGTTACACTTGGATCGAAATTAGATGGTCGGCGAATTTTTGTGCTCAAAGGTTTTTCCTTCTAAATAGTAAATATTTTGAAATTTTAAAAATATAATAGCTGTTTCTTGTTAACGCGGAAGAAGTTAGTTCAAAGTTTAAAAATTAAAGTGTTATTCAATTTCTTACCAAATCTAAATTTTTCTTGGCCGCTCGAGGATGTCTGAATGATCTCCCAGATTCATTTTCACGTGTTACTGTACTATCTAAAATAAATACAGTCGCTTTAAATTAAAAATATAAGTAAACGAACAGTTCTACTCAATTTACCTTCACTATTTTCCTCATTCAATTTTGAAAGTTTTTTTGAACGTTTTTTTATTTGTTGTGGAGTTTTGTCTGCAGTAAGTGAGTCAACAATAGCATTTGTTTTAAAAAAATTCTGAATTTTTTCCAAATTTTTCTGAAATTTTTAAAATTACTATATTGTGGTAAACTGATTACTAGTTTTTCAAATTGTAACATAACTCATACATATGTAGATAAATTATGCTAATTCATGCAAGTAATTTTGAAATAAGATCCTTACTTTGAATAACATTAAACAACTTACTTTCATTTCAATTTTTATATAATTGAAATTTTTAATAAAATTTAGATTTTTTTACAACTCTGAAAAGGCACAAATACATTTTATAAAACGCGAAGCGACCATTACTTATTCTAATCATAGTAAAAAATAGTTTCACCTACTAATGTGTAAAACTTAATATTTTAATTTCAAACATTAATTGTACTACCATATTTTGTAAGTACCGACCTATGCAATAAAATAATTTTTGTTTCATTTATGTACCTTATAATCTTCTTCCAGTTTTTGGAGAGCATTATCATGAAATTCAAATAATGCTTCTAATTGCGAACATAGCAAAGGATCCGTTTCTAACAATTTCTCCATGTTAAAATTTAATGAAAATATTAAAAATATTTCCACTGATATATCCTTTTTTTTTTTATTTTAAATTTAATCGCGAATTTAGTTTTATATGACGCTAAACTTCAATTAGAGCTCACTCTAATCAATAAAATTTGAAAATCAAAAATTGAAAAAAGAGAATCAAATGTTTTTTCGAGTATCGATTCTCGAAAATAAAAGATGCGCCACTGCTAATTTGCGATCATTTTTCAGCGCTCCTATCGGTAGAAATTGAAAAATTATTTAGCAACATGACTAGTTAATCAGTAATATTTACACAATATAATAAAATTTGATTGGTCTTTTCACAAATGCAAATTAAATTTTGACTAAGCAAAAAACAAAATAATAAGTTTTGTCTCCTGAGGATCATTTCGACAAAAATTTCCATTAGTTGATTATCTAAGTTTACACGACGAGTTTTGCATCTATTACCCGGTTACGTGGTAGCTTCAAGTGTACTTGAAGCCTATTTCATGCCCATATAAACTTTACTTACCTTGAAATGTCAAATGTAATAGCTAAAAGTAATTTTCGGTTTTTCAAGCTGATATGATAAAAACGCAGCTGGAGTGTCGAGGCAACTTGGCTAACGCAAGCTGCCATACAAACGAGTATGTTAATCAGTGATGCAAAAATCATTGTGCAAACCAAGGTATTGATTATAACACAAAGAAAACTAAAAAAATTTACCCGAAATTTTAATATTACGAACGAAGTCTACTTGCCAAATTAATTTTTCCATCTGTCAAAATAGCGGTTCTTTTTCACTTTACATTGGGGGCGCCTATTTTTAGCTCAGAGGTGATCAGATTCAAATTTTGTACAAAAACAAACACACTATAGATCTTTTTTTAATTTTAAAGTGGTTAAATAAAATCAAAAATGTAAATCAGCTCTATGAAATCTGAAATTTTTTTCGAGCGCACACGATGAGCTCTGAGCGCTCCGAAATAAGACGAAAACGGATCTATTTTTTGATAGATCTGATGTTAAAATCAGTTTTCCTTGGCATTCTTTATAAATCATGCAAAATGAGATAACTAAATTGCACAATTAATCGAATGGTTCTTTAGATTCTAAATTATTTTTCTATAAAAATACATTTCTGTAAAAAAAAGCTGTAAAAAAATAAGCTGTAGTAAAAATAGTTTTTGGTGATATTTGAAGAGCTTTAAACGCGTTTTCTGACTAAACGAAAGTAATAGAGCAATTCTAAGTGTTTTTGGTGATCACCAGGAACTTACCAGGAATCCCTCAATATACAATATATATGTATGTCCGTATCTGATATTATATTGAGTATTGGAAGATACATTTAATTTCCCTATTGTGCAAGAATAATCATGTAACATAGCAAACATACACATACGTATACATTATATGTATAATATTATATATTTTTATATATGGAAATATTCTTGGTTCTGCGCAACTTTACACAACTGTGGAGCCCTGCGGTAATAATAATGTTCAAAATTTGAGCACGTTCAAGTGTAATCCAGTTTAATTCTATCCAGTTTTTTTTATATAAACTCGTGCAATTTTTTTCGATTTAAATCGATTTGATTTTTAGTTTTGTAAAATATATAAGATTGTATAATGTATAATATGGTACATAATTTCAAGTGATATTTATTATATGTATAAGTAAGTAAAAAAAAAGTAGGAAAAAAACAAGAATAAATGGTAAAAGGTGTTTTAGCTATTTTTTGTTTAAATTTTTAATCAATTACTTTTGATTTTATATCGTGATTCAGTAAAAAAGAATTATTACTAAGAAGGTTTTAAAGGGTTAATAAGAGTCAGTGTTTAAAAGGTCCTAAAGGGATAATAAGATTGAGATCATTACAAATGTTGATCTAAAAATAATTTGACTTGTTTATTTAATTAATTTTTCGCTATGTTTAGTTTATTAAAATTCAATAATTTTCAATGATGTGCAATATAATACAATAAATTTAAAATAAGAAAATGAAGCCGATCTTAGCCATGGTTTGTATAATTGCAGAATTTCTTTTACCAATTTAATTATAAAATCTGTTTTATACATTTATTTTAGCTTCAGGTTGAAATATAAAAAAAAACGTTCTATTCAAATAATTCCCTTTTTTACCATATAATTTCGCTTAAATTTTTTAAAGCGATTATACATATGTATTAAAAAAAAAAACTAGATGTATAAAGCTTAAATTATACACATACAACCACATGTCTGTGGTCTATCAAATTCAATAGTAATAAAATAGTACCATTTTTGATGCACTGAACCGTAGAGGTATTTGGTTATCTGTGGGGTGTGTAAATCTTACCTATATACTATATAATAACGTACATACAACATAATCTGTTGCAGTTCTTATTTGTATGTACATTAAAACTTAATTCTTTGTGTACTTATAGCTACATATGTATGTATGGAGATTTCAACCCACCAACTACCCAAGTGTGCAATCAGTTTGATAAGGTAACGTTCATTCAATCAACTATCTATAAGAGAAATGCAACCTTCTTGCAAAATGCAAAATTGTAAATAACATTTATATGAATCGAACATTATTGTCAAAACTGGAGGCGAAATCCATGACCATAATTTTCGAGTCATGGACATTTAGTCCGTTTTTATTTAATAAGTGTCCGTTACTCTAATTTTCATAATAACATCTAAACTTCATCAGACCCAACATTCAGCAACATTACACGTTGTTATTAGCAAAATCAGCAATACAACTGTCAACCAGATTCAATTAAGGTACAAAATAATCTTAAACTATTAATCCAATAAGGTATTCCTTATATTATAGCTTTTAACAATTATAAAGCTTTCTTTTATACACGCATTTTTTATTGAATGTTTCAAAAGTTTCTAGATAAAATTTTAGCATATAACAACAAAAAATAAAATGTTATAAAATCATTCAATTTCAAAAATTTTGTTAAATTGATATACATATTAATAAAATAAAATTTCAGTAAGTCAAAATTTTCATATACCAAATCTACATATCCATATGTACATATGTACATATAAAACACTGTTAATATATTTTATGATATTATTACATGCAATTCATATTAGAATTTGGGAATAATTTTCCTTAATAAGATTTTTATTAAAAAATATTAAATAACATTACATATACATATATTCTGTTGATAATACATATTTTATAAGCAGTTTAGTCAAACTTAAATTAGTTATACATTAATGTAATGTACTGCTATAATAGTTTATTATGTAAGTATTTAAGGTATACAATAAACGCGATTGCGTACCTACATATCACATACATGTACATACGTTTATATAATATAGGAGAACATTATTTTCCTTTTATTTCCCTAAATACCAATTTTTAGTCAATTAAATTGGATGTTATATATTATTATATTATGATATAATAATTTGAGTTCCTAAATATTTATAATAAATATCAAAATACATACATATGTATATGTATTTAGCCACTTGTTATGTCTGTACAATTTAACATATTTAATAGAATTTAGTTTACTAGCGTTACTATGTTTGAACGTTTGAAATAGATATTATGAAAGAACTTTTAAATATTATGAGATTTTATATAGTATCTTATATAGTATATTATTAATAAATATACATTACACCTTTATTAAATTATATTTTATATTATATATACATATTTTACCAAGATACGAAGATATTGTGTCATTTGTATCAAAAAGTTTGGAATTTTTGAGAGGAATACAAAAATATTTACTAATTTTTTTTAATAAAATTTTTTCAAATTGCCATAATAATACAATCAATTCATTTAAAATTGTATGCTATTTCTGGATCAATTTTAAAACAATTCCTGATTGGGCATAAAACTTGATTAAACAAAGTCTATTTTATTGTGTTGAAATCTTATACGTAATGCTTTTATGCTTAAAATAATAATTCTGTAACCTATATTTTATGCAGATTTATTGATTAACTGTATATTTTTAATAGTTAATTTGGTAAAGTATGACGATTTCAATGATATGGTGCAATGGTTATAGTCTCTGGTTATGGTCAAATAGTCTCAGGCTCTTCAATTCTTGATTGGGTCGTTAATCATTATAAATAATGCGATATATCTAAAAAAAAGTAAATATTTTATTATTAACATTAGTATAAAAAATAATGTAAAATTAATTATACCACATTCAAAAGAGAACCTCAAAGTCAGAAAATTCAAGGTAGCGTAGGTCCTCCATATAAAGATATTTTGCAACAAACGACTATTTTACGACCAGATGGCCGTGTAGATTGTCAGCCTGCTGCTGAAAACTTATGATGTACAAAACTAAGGGCTAATTTTTAAGTAATAAGCAGTCTCTTATGGAGTGAAAAATAGAGTGACGCTAATGATATAAAATTTTAGTACATTTTAACATGACTTTTCTTATTTAGTAAACAATCATAAACAGGATTCTGTCAGTTACCTAAAATTGAAGTAGAAAAAATTAATTAAGAAATTTGAGTATTTTTAATTATTTATGATACTGATGCCAGAAATTGGAGAATTTTTTAAAATAACATAATTTCATTTTTTAAAGTAAACAATATACATATGTAAATAATTAAGTAAATTGAGTATTTGATAACATTTTTTGTAGTTAATCTACTTAATCATTAAAAATTTTTATGTATTTTAGAAACTATTTCCCATACGCAGGGGTAAATTTATTTATGTATATATAGAATATAATTGTATATATACATCAGTGTTATATTGTCTGTGATAGTTTTTTTTTTTTTTTAACACTTAATCAATTTTGACAATTTTTTCTAAAAATAATTCCAATAAAGTACGTAAATACGTAAATGAATTGAGGAAGTAAATTCTAATTTTATACATTATTTTATTACAAGGTTGAAGGGTTAAAGAAATCTGAATGTAGTGCAAAAAATTTATTTGAAAATGTCCATATATTTGAACATATACGAGTATATAACAATATCAAATTAGATGAAGGTATATAATATACACCGCATATAATATTTAGAATACTATTATAGTTTTCTTTTTGAACGCAAATATTGATAACCTTATAGTAAAAAAATTTTTTTCTCATTT